CCTCCTGGAGCGCCGCAACCGCACTGCTTTGGAACCTCAAATCAGTCTTGAAATCCTGAGCAATCTCTCTCACCAGCCTCTGGAACGGAAGCTTTCGGATCAAAAGCTCAGTGCTCTTCTGGTACTTCCTGATCTCCCTCAGAGCCACGGTTCCAGGCCTGAAGCGGTGTGGCTTCTTCACACCTCCGGTGGCCGGTGCCGACTTCCGAGCAACCTTGTGTTGGCGGAAGTTTCCAGCCCATGAAAGTCTAACCCCATTTTTCTACCACCTATTGCAAGAGGCTATAAGCTACAGCAGCCATTGTGGAATATTCACAATGGTTATTTCAACTATTGTAGATGAACCTCATTTAATGAGGTAGAAAAACTTGCACCGGGTAGTTGGGTTTTTTACCCTATAAATAGCATGCAATGGCAAGGCAATAGGCAAGCAAGCAAGAAGCAAAGAGTGCAGTACCAAAGTGAGCAAAGTGAGAGCTCCGGGTGAAAAGAAAAAAGGGGGGTGAGAGCTAGGCATTAAAAGTTTGGGTGTAAGAGTGCTCCATAAAAAGAGTACATCGAGTGATAAAATTGTGAGTTTATCAGGATTGTGATCATATCTGGGGAGTGAGAAACACCAAGAGAGAGAAAATACTTGAGTGTATATTTTGTATAATTTTATCACATAGTGAAATACCCTTCGGAGTTTGTCCCGTGATATTTTCTCTCAATAGTTTTTTGGGATTTTTCCACGTAAATTTTAATAGTATTTTGCTTGTTTATTTTTCTGCATGACTGGTTGAACCACCCATTTTATTTATATTTCTTAAGTGGCAGGTGAAACCGCCGATTTTATTTTTCACTAACAGTTAATATTGATCGACTAAGCTACCTATTTCACTGTTCTTTGTTACTGTTCACATGTTTTATTCACAAGAATTATTTTATTTCGCTGCACCATTTTTCCCAACACCTTGGTGGCCAGCTGCTTCCGCGGCGCCTTACCTCCCGTTGATTTTCTAGCGGTCTGCTTGGTGCGAGCCATTTCAAATTCGAAGAAAACAAGGGATATCAGAGAGATTTTGATGTTGTGTTGAGTTGATGAAAAGGGGATTTGGGAGGTCTTTTATAAGGGAAAATTTCGAAAAAGCGGGAACATGAAAATTTTGTGTGTTTTCTCGAGATATTTTAATTAGCGAATCCAGACCGTAGATTGCACGGGATTATCGACGGCCATACGAGCTTTGAAGTCCAGATCCGCGTCACAGCAAAAGATGATATCTATGTAGGCCGTTCATTGAATATTAAGAGAGGAGAGACACGGATTGCAATCGTACGGCAGACGAGACGTTTCTATGTAGGGCCGGTGGACTTCATTTATATTGGGCCACGTTTTCAGAGTTGAAA